GCCTGAGTACCCTAGAGATAGTCAAAGCGGTAGGGCCCCTCGCTAGTATTCGCCGTCGACCGATTGCTCGCCGCGACACCTGGCTGTCCTCCATGACTTTGCCTCCACCTGACATGGTCACCCCTGCGATCATGATTTGCAGCTCAATGACAGCAGCCCCCAGGCGGGTCGAGGGCGGCCGCGATTTTACAATACAATAAAAATATTACCATACCACCAAACCAATAAAAAAACAATAGCCCACCACTGAAGTGGAATTAAATTTTCATTCCTCCTCAAGGATCTTCTCCCAGTCGCCGGTAAAACCGGAGGAAAAGAAGGATATGTTTTAATTTTTGTAAATACCTTAGTTTAAAAACAAAAGTGGTAGAGCCCAGTGGTGGATACCTGTATTTATTTCAATAGCCAGGAACAATAGTCATTTCTAACTTTCAGAAATGAAACATACCATAGTTATCAAAATTTCGTGAAGTAAAGAAATAATTTGTTAGTGCTAAGTTAAATTTACTACCATTCATCAATCTACTTTCTTTTATAAGAATAGCAATAGCTTTCAAACACTTTCCAACTTATGTCCAAAAAGGCATTTTCATCTTCACAATTTTAGTTGTAGGAAGACGCCGCAATTTTAAAAATGTTCATAAAACCAGGCCTTTCAACGGACATGAGACCTGCACCATTCTCTTATGCATCCTTTATGCTAACTAAGACCCCAATTTAATAAAAAATATTCTGCGTTTTTAAGAACAAAATGTTCAAAGAAAATGAAAATTGCGTTTGTTTCACATAAAATTTCGCAAAAATATTAATTATTTTAAAAAATCGAACAGTCTTATTTGAAGATATGATTTTGAAGAACATATTTCATTAAAGAAAAAATCTTCATGATTGTAGTTGTACGAATACGCCAAACAAATTTTGAATTTATTTAATTTTCTAAAAATCAGATTTATCCAACAACATGAGTACTTCACCATTTTCTTAAACGTCCTTCAGACTATATTTTAGACAAAATTTAATTAAAATCGATGGAGCCGTTTTCAGGAAAAAAACTTAAACAAAGTTGAAAATTGCCTAATTTTACACAACGTAACGCGGAAAATACTTCGTTTTTCGAATAATTGTACATGACCTTATTTCAAAATCTATCATTTAGGAACAGAGTTTATGAAGGGAAAAATCTGTATCTTTAATATTTTAGTTTTAGAAAGTCCCCGAAAACATTTTGATTTTTTCAGTTTTCGAAACATAAGGATTTTAATGGTCAAGAGACTAGCGCTATTGTCTTAAAACTTCTTCAGACTATCCGATGGCGCCGTTTTTATGAAAATGTCGCAGGGGCTTCATGTAAAGTACCCCCAAAATTAAAATATATGTTAAAATTCAAGGAGGCGTGACACCAGCCAGATCAATTTTGGAGAATATTGGCTAATCGGCTTAGCCGCTAGTGTTCGCAAACGGACAGAGACATATTGCCGTCATTCAATTTTTCTCTATGAAGGACCCACAAAACATGGATTCTGACTACATCACGTGTTAGAGGATTTGTTTTTCTAAATTTAGCAACTGGATTTATCAACTTTTTCGTTTCCAGAGCCCTATAATAAGAGTTTTTCTGCCGAAAATTTGCTCTTTCCGGGCAGTATTACATAACTTCCTGGATACCGCGTAAGTAAAAATAATCCTTCGAACCGATTAAAATTTATATTAATGAATCATTCATAGAATTTAGGGTCAGGACAAGGGTATTTTGATATTGTTGAATGCATAAACGAACAAGCGATTGATTTATCTAAGTATAAAGGTCAAGAATATGATAGCTCAGCAGTTATGAGTGGAATTTACAATGGTGTTCAGAAGAAAAAAAAAGATAAATTTGACAATGCATGTACTGCACATAACTTTAATCTTGTTCTCTATGGTGCCATGTAAGGGATATTAGAAATTCATACAGTTAACAGACTGTTTGCCGAAACGATTTATGTTTCCTTTGGTCGTAACACTAGTCGATGGAACTTAGTATTATCAACAGTGGTGGATTTAGATAAAAGGCGTAATTATCTTACATTAAAACGACTTTGTCGTAAAAGATTATCATCACAGAACGATTCTTTAATAGGTATAAGATTTTGATATTTTAATGTTTTGCGAGCTTTAACAAAAATTACATTGGGTCGGCCTGGAAGCCGAGGTCGCTGGGCTGAAGGTTCAAAGGGTTCGCTTCTCGTCTGGGCAATGGATGTTTGTGTTCGTATATCGCCCCCCCCCCCCCCGCGTTACTTACGGTGGTTTACGAGCTTAGTTGTTGAATAGCGACCTTAAATAAGTAATAAACTAGTGATGCTAGAACAGCACATACTTTCTCGCAATATTACAATGCAATCGTGTACGATTCCCGTAATGATTCATTAATCTTAAATAGAAATGAAGCCAAAAATAGTAACATGTACCAAAAAAATGTATATGAACTTTTTTGAAGAGCTAATTTTGTACAACAGACTTTGAGACAAAATCTCCATCTTAAATTTTGCAGTTTTTAAATTTTTGCAATTCTCGAAAAAACACTAACAATACCAGTCAGAAAATGGAATTAGCATCCTATTATTTACCGTCCATTATTACATATGGAGACAAAATTTAAAGATAACATTTGGAGCAGATTTTTAGTAAAAGAAATTAGAAAATTTCAAGCGCATATTATGCAAAAACTACTCGCTTTTTTTCAAAAAATTGTACATAACCTTTTTTACAGAGCTAATTTTGTACAATTAACTTGAAGCAAACATTTTATCTTCAATTTTGTAGTTTTAATTTAGTTGATATTTGTGCAATTTTCAAAGAATCGGGGATATGAACGAAAATTATATCTGCATCATTACGTCCTTCGCACTATTCAACAACAAAATTTAATCAAAAAATTTAGAACCATTCTTTTTTGGAAAATTTTGAAAATGCCCGGGACGCTTCATGTTAAGTATCACCCAAAATTAAAGTTTCAAAATCCAGGAGCTGCGACATCAGCCAGAACGATTGGGGAATATCAAATCTGGAGAAAATCGGCTGAACAGTTTTTTGCGCTAGCGTTGTGCACAAACCGACAGACGATGGTATGAAGGACGCACAAAACATGGATTCAGGGGACACCATATGTTAGATAGTCCTCGTTTTCGTTACCAGGGACGGCAGTAAGAGTTTTTTTGTCGAAAATTCGTCGTTTTCCAGCGCACGATTACAGTACATTCTCTTCTTGCGTTTGTAAGAGCGAGAAAGTTAAAAAGTTAAATTTTCTAACAAATTGTCTACAGCAAATGAAGTCCGTAACTTGAAAAAATAAAACACGTGTATATCTGTTGAAATCTCGAAATCGATTCTCCGGAGCATTACATAACTTTCTCTGTACTACGTATATTACTCCGAATATACGTACTATGTATACGGGAATGTGATAACAGTATTTGCTTAACAAAGAAATTAGCATTTCCATTCTGTTATCTAAGGAATACTTCTGTGGTGTAGTTCAGTAAAACTTTTTTTGTAGGATCGTGCGGAATTAGGAATGAAAGAGCAATGCATATTGCCCCTTAAAGACGTCACACCTCTTCCCGCCCAATGACCGGGAAATTTTGACGCAATGTAACATGGCATTTACTCTAAGACGACCAGAACGCTAAAATAATAAACCGAAGAGGTCACGTATTATTGTGAGCCAAGCGGTTTCCGGTCTTCGGATAAGCAACAGCGATCGCGAGCAAAGAGTATAAATAATTTTACAGAAACAAAACAGTCGCCTCTGGTTATAATGAACTAAGGATTAACATATTTAGTTCATTATATCTGATGTCAAAATTAAATGACATTTCTCAGCAATGATTGATTTTATTAATATAGAGAAACAGTAAAATACATGAACAGTACCAACTGAAAATTTCAATATCCTGATTTGTCTTTAAAAAATCAATTATTTTCAATTGTTTGCTTCGTACATTTTTCATTAGTAATTTCTCTACATCCTTTTTCAGAGTTTGTGCTCTCTCCATGCTTGAGTTTGCATTATCTACTGTCTCTGCGTATCGTAATGCAGTCAACATACGTCGTAATGCATAACATACGAGATCCTTTTGGTTGCGGGACGACGCAAGCGGCTAATGAAACTGATCGCTTTTCCGCGCGGCGCGGCGGGAATCGCCAGACTGTGACTATAACGTGCTTCCTGTCGCCTACGTAGATCACAACGCGCTTTGTCCAACAAAATATCAAGTAACATCAAGCTTGAAACTGAAGCAAGCAATCACGTAGGACACTGCCTTAGTTTCCGCAGTGAAACTGAATGACGTGAGGTATCCGTAAGGTCCCCATACCGTGTCCGCTAACTTTATAAATTTATATCTTAGGGGAGACTTCGATTACGACCTTAGTTGGATATTTTTTTCACGCTCCCTGGTGTTGGAATTTCTGGCACAAAGGTGATATATTCTTTTCCAGGAAATTATCCTATATTCGAGGTTCAGGTTCACTATAACCGAATCTTCATATGCGTAATGAAAGTGAAACGTGAAAGTGACGTAAGTTCACTACAACTAAGGAGTCACTATTGTACGAACATATTTGTCTACGTGACAGCTAGCGGCTGACTGGAGGGAAGGGCTTCCGTTATCGAATCACAGGTTTCAAGTTCTGATGTCACTTCACCATTGCCAATACTTATTAGGACAAAAAAAATCTTACAGCATGAAGCAACTGCAAGAGGGCCAAAACTTCTTTGGTTATGCATGGTGTGTGTTCTTATTGCGATTTATTTCTTGCTACTGTGTAAACTGATGCGAGAACGCCTATACCACGTGTCTGCCGCACGAGTATGCGCCCCACCCCACCGCAGCTGTCACATAGAAATATTCTGACAATATATCAGCCCATAATAACCAGTTGACTGATTACAGGAGATCAGGAGACCACCTAATTTCAATAACATTACCTGAACGACAATTCATATAATACACTATACTCATTTTTGTAATAATAGTTGATTAAAATACTTTAATGAAGCAAAGCTTTCATTTGAAACTAGAATAGTGTTATGCCTATTGTAATAATCACAGCAGCAGGGGTGAGTAGGTTGAAAGTGCAGTTTTCTTTTAGACCACCCCCCTAAAACAATTGTAAGGAATCAGTCATGTGGTGGGCTAAGGTTTCCCTGTAATCTTTAGGAGTAATAGTTAAAAATTCAGAAACTCAAGATGTCTTGGACAGGAGAGAGATTCTTTTTCACCATACATTTTCAAAATCACTGCCAGAATAAATTAACCAACAAGTTTTTAAATTGATTTATTTTTAAATGTCCTTTAAATAAACCTTGGAATGACATGAGAATATTACTTTATATTACCAAAAACGTTCAGCCAGCAAGTTAAACTTAGTGTAGAAACTGCATTTGCCCAATTTTATCAGAGCTTCTTTAAAAAGTATATAGTTCATAAATCATTTCAAGAATTAAAATGACATGGATGGAAGGAAAGGTAAAGATAATTTATGTAAATCATTTATACTGAATCTTGATACAAACTGAAGTAACATTTTTTAAATAGCTTTATTATAACAAATATTTGGGCTAACAAATTTTAAGTAAATGCGAAATGTTCATTTTTGAGCACCAGGTGACACAAGATAGCTGTCCTTTGAATTTGATATTGCAGCTGCAATTCTATTAACAGAAATATAGTGACAACTGCAATTTTGGTAGTCCTTCACATGAACAGAAGTTTCAGTTGGGAGATAAGAGAATAAAGCTCGAGCCTAATTTTTCTACTCTAAACAGCACACTTCCACAGAAATGAGATGTTTAGCTTCAAACAATCTATCATACACTACAGGCAACAACTGGATCTGGTAACATCTCACACTGAACATGCATTCAAAATTTAACAGATCATTTGGTAGAATATAAAACAATTCACTTTCTCATGCAACTATGTCACATCGCTATGAACACAAACTACTCCTGAATTCAGTTTCTTTCATTTCAGTCTTTTCACTCTTCTACACTGGCAAGTTTACATCATCCCTCCCATCCCTCCCATTCCACCCATCCCGCCCATACCACCCATGCCTCCCATGCCAGGAACAGCAGGCTCTTCTTTAGGAATGTCTGTTACTACAGCTTCGGCTGTTGTTAGGAGAGACGCTACACCTGCTGCATCTGTGAGCGCAGTTCTAACAACCTGCAAAAGATAGGTGTTAATGAAATTTGAAGAGATCTCATGACTTTACTACACATTCTTTTTATGCGAGCAATAATACCTTGGTGGGATCTATTATTCCTTTCTCAATTAAATTTACAAATTCATTATTTAAGGCATCATAACCAAAATCTCCTTCAGATTCCTCCACCTTTGATACAACCACCGATGCATCAACACCAGCGTTCTTCGCAATTTGCATGCAAGGCATTCTTAGTGCTTTCATAACGATGGCAATACCTATAAAAAAGAAAATATATGAATATGTAGTTGGAATAAATAAATATGTTAGAAAAAAGGTGATAAAAATATTCCAAAAAACATTACCGGTTTTCTGATCTTCATTTACAGCTTTAAGGGAATTTAAAACCCGAATGCATCGAAGTAAAGCGGTTCCACCACCAGGCACAATACCTTCTTCTACAGCTGCCCTTGTGGCATTCAATGCATCATTAACTCTGTCCTTCTTTTCATTCACTTCAACCTGCAGACAAATTTTTGCATCACATCAAGGAAGAAAAAATTATTCTTTAATACATTATGAAGTAACAGCTCAGTGAAAATTATGTATCGCTTCATAATTTTGATCATTCACTTAGCATCATCTCTTTCAAGAGAGCTAAAAATGTCAATTCCTCGGCCTTAAAATCATCATAGCAAAACAAGAAAAATATCTGGAAATATATGACAAGACTTACCTCGCTAGAACCTCCTACTTTCAGAACTGCCACACCTGATGCTAAACGAGCTAATCTTTCCTGAAGTTTCTCTTTCTCATATTCTGAGGTAGTGTTTTCAATCTGATCTCTAATTTGATCAGCACGACGATCAATGTCATCCTTCTTTCCCTTACCCTAAACAAATGTATATTATTTTACCACAAAAATACTTTGAAAATACAAACTTCCTTTGAAATTGGAGTTCATCAAAAGTTATATCTCTCAAATAGCACACACTTGATGTGAAATAGGTTTAGAATCGTTCATCACCTAGAAATGGTATTTTCAACTTGTGTGCGAGAGCAAGTGAGAGAAATTGATTCAATCCCTGATTACTTACCCGTAACATTAATGTGTCATCTTTTGTGATTAAAATTTCACCAACTTGGCCTAAATCAGACATCTGCACATCCTCCAATTTAATATTGCTGGCTTCATCACCAAATACAATACCACCAGTAGCAATGGCCATATCTTGGAGAGTTGCTTTCCTATTGTCACCAAAACCAGGGGCCTTTACTGCAGCTACCTGCAGGCCAATTTTGAGTCTGCAAAACAAATTTTGTCACACATTAACTTTCACAAATGTGTCAAAAACAAAGATTTGTATTACTAAATTAGAGGTAACAAGTGCATATATCCTCTCAGATTATTTGTAATGGTTACGTAATCTAACAATAATAGAGGTTTTAAGGACAATCAATCTTATTAAACAGACAAGCTGACTTTGAGGAATAATACTTGTTTTTTTAAAAAAAACTCAAAATTATGCAAAAAGGACATCTTTTTCACAAAATTTTAATATCTCTTTCAATTTAAAAATAATCCTTTCTTTAAAAATGTAGTTGACGGACAATAACTTTTGGAATTATCAAATATTTTGTGTTAATGAAAAACGAAAATGTTTGTAAAATTAATAGGAGCCTTTGGTGGCATACTACGCTCCATAATTCTTTGTTTTTAAAATGTGATGCCACTTCTTTTTTAACAATTTTCAAATAGCTCTAGAGTTTCATGTAAAATACTACCAAAGTCAAAACATTTATTTCAAATCTGAGATGCCAAGATATTAACCAGTCATTTGGGGAATATCCATTTTGGCATATATTCTTTGTATGAAAATCAGCTCTGTTGTCACAAAAGGGATTATGCAAGGGAGAGTGATCGGTGATTAACACACAAATTATTCACTTTCATTCCACGAACTTTTGCTAACCTGTCTTAGAGCTGTTGAACCACTTACACCCACAGCACACACTAATTTGAAAGTTCTGAACATTCAATATCAAGAAAGACCAACAGAATTCCTATAGTACTCACAAAGAACATGTGGGGATTATTAGTATACTCGTCATTATCCTCCGTCATTAACGATGTTTTTTTTGTTGTATCTATGCATCCAATTCTTCGTCATTAATGATAGCGGAATATAATCTCTCATGTAAATTAGATTTTAGACCTTTATATCATGAAGATACATTCAATTACAAAATCCAGCCAGCTGATACAACTACTAAGCTGTCTGGTAGAAGAATATTTATCAGAGTGATGCAATCTTCATCAACACTCATTTGCTGTCATTAAAATCTTTTACTACCCAGTACGCCCTGTACTTGAGGAAAAGTATTTCTTTAGTAACCAAGTCTCTTAAAACTTGAATTTTTACTGCGCTACATACATGAAGTAATGTGCTATGAATAGGAGACAGGAAGAGCCACTTTTTCTAGGATTCACAAATTGTGTATGTCATACAATCAGCATTTTTTTCAGCAGCATTACACAACTTTACTTACCTATTAACAACCAGAGTACTTAAGGCTTCTCCATCAATATCTTCAGCAATGATTACTAATGGTTTGCGTTGAGCATTTGCCAATTCCAATGCAGGAATAATGGATTGGACACTTGAAATCTTCTTATCACTCAAGAGTATCAAGCAATCCTGGAATTCAACCTTCGCTCCTAGAACAAAAATGAATGGATTTGGTAAAAAACAGAATTACAATGCAAAACATGGTGTAGTGTAAGGTCCAAAAATGCTTACCTTTGGAAGTGTTAATAAAGTATGGTGAAATATACCCTCTATCAAACTTCATTCCTTCAATGACCTCCAGTTCATCATCTAAAGTCTTTCCATCTTTAACAGTAATAACACCTTCCTTACCAACCTGCAAGGAAAGCACAGTTCCTCAAAAATTTAGTACATACTTATAAGCAGAGTGGGTCATGCAATAGTCTAAAAATTAGACAATTGAAATAATTTCAATGGTTCGTAATTGGTTACACAATGCCGTAAATTATGCTAGTATTTATTTAACCGTGCACTTGACGTATATCAGTTCACTATTTCATCCAATCGGGAGCTTGAACGTCCCCATAGTGACATCACTGTAGCAACATATAAGCTCACAATTGGATGAACCTGCAACAATTGATGTACGGCAAGTGCACAATTAAATAAATTGTACTATACTGTGATACATGCAACTCTGTCCCCAGCAGGTATCAGCTGTTGACTTTTCATCCTATCAGAAGCTTGAACGTCAGCATAATGACATTCAAGTTCCTGATTGGATAACAGCTGATATCTGCTGTACCTGCGTCAACAGCTGATACCTGCCGGGGACAGTTGCATAAATTTAAATTAACTCCCCTATATACTGTAACCTTGAATCTTGCTGGAGCTCTATTGTAAATAGTGCAGCGAATGTGGTAGTAAGCCCCTCTAATTTTGGGTCAGGATAGCTGTCAAAATTATTACTTATGTAGTTCTTCTACAGTTTCTTGTGCTTCTCTGATCCTTCGTAATTTGTGTTTTTGAGTGTTGAACGTTTGAGCCAAGACATTGATAATAAATGTAAGTTTTTTTTTTGTCTTGCAGCGCTAGGAAATTGATTTGCTGCACAATTTACACGTCTTATGTGCGATGATGAGGTTGGCCAAGCGAAAGGAGTTGTGGGATCGTTTCGAGTGTAAGTGCAGTAAAAAAAGTCCTCATGCAAGAGTGTTTTCTGAGGAAGGAGGCAAACAAGAGGTTTTCATTGTTCTTTGTGGGAGCCTCATAACTTTATGATGCAAGAAAGTTGCTTAACAATAAGTTTGATTCATTTCTATCAAAGTACTTAGTGTAATTTGAGGGAGGGCTTAAAGAGACTTCCCTCCACACTTCTCTAAGTGCAGCTGATATATGCCTTCTCTACTTTAACCTCTTCTGCATGTAACTTAACATAGCCTTAGATTAAAATGGGGAGTTTTAAAAAGGCAATTACTGCCAGAAATAAATAGTACATGGTAATTCATTTCTTTGAATTTTTATATCCAATGGAATTCTAAACTGAGATAATGAATGAGCAAATTCAATTTCACTAATTCTATTTTATGATCATTAATAATTAGAATATTGCATCCAAGAGTAAATATTCTTTAATAAGAAAATTACACATACTGCTAATTTCTTTCAGGAGAAAAGGAATTCTTGACCTTTACAGAAGTTCAAAGATACTATGAACGTATGGACAATTTATATAGAAAGATTTGAAGAAATGTATAACTTATCAAAGAAGTCAAACATGCTCAGGATTTTTAATTTTGACAGAAATAGAATGAACATGATTATACTTGTGCAGTACCTAATATAAAAATTCATCAAAAATAAAAGCTTGAACAATGTAAAATTTTTTAATTTATTTTCAATAAATTAAAAATGATTTAATAATGTTAATACATTTTACACTTGGTCCAGCATATTAAACTTCTAGTCTTAAGGGAAATGCACACTTTGAGAAGTTTGAAATCTTTTGCGGTAAAGGATCACATTCCATTCATCCAAATCAACAATACAACACAATATTTCAAAACTTGTATCTCATAATTCAATACATACCTTCTTCATTGCATCAGATATGAGACTTCCAACTTGATGATCACCATTAGCTGATATGGTTGCAACTTGAGCTATTTCTTCTGGGGTTGTTACTGGTTTGGACAAAGACTTCAAATTATCTTTTACTGCATCAACAGCCATCATAACTCCTATTAAAAAACAAAAAATATAGTCAATACTAAAAATTTCCTTCCTGGAACATGAATTCAAAAATTGTGACACCATAGTTTGAGATTTTATTTTAAAATACCTCTTCTTATTTCAATGGGATTAGCTCCTTTGCTTATTTTCTCAAACCCTTCCTTTGCAATTGCTCGAGCCAAAACTGTTGCAGTAGTGGTCCCATCACCAGCTTCCTCATTAGTGTTGTTAGCAACATCTTGGACAAGTTTAGCACCAATATTCTGAAATTTATCCTTTAATTCTACACCTTTAGCAACAGTGACTCCATCTTTTGTGATTTTAGGGCTTCCCCAGCTTTGCTCCAGAATAACATTACGACCCTAAAAAAGAAAATTAAGTTTAAGGATTTTCACATTACAAATTCATCTAATTCAATAATGTGATATTTTACCTTTGGACCCATGGTTACAGCAACAGCATCGGCAAGAATGTCAACACCCTGCAGCATCAAGGCTCTCACTTCAGGGCCAAATCGCACGTCTTTGGCATAAAACCGAGAATGGTAGAGTTGTCTAAGGGCGTTTGAACGCAAAACATTGGGAAGTCGAAACATCTGAAGAATAAATTGAGGTTATAGTATTACAACAATTAATTCTACATAAATGATTGGAAACTTCTAGTGCTCGTTTAACATTTCGTATTCATGTCCAATAATTTGAGTTATCATAGAATTCACTTACTTTGTGTAGTATTATTAACACAAAGTAAAATTTTCTCACGACCAGTAGTTAAATAACGTTAGCCACAAATCGACGGCTATATCAATGAAGCACTAAAAAGCCGGCTGAACCGAAGACCAACACGCGTGCGTATCCAACGACGACCCTGCTTGTACTGCACATGGCCGGTCCGAGAAGGCCCAGTAATAGGGATAATGGCATTGATCTTCAACTAGGTGTTAGAAAATGGCTGCAAGAATAAGAATTTATCAACATAAAATATTAATATTTTGTTTATGTTACTCTTTAATTCTATAATTTTGCTAACTATTACAAGATAATCGTTACTGTTCTGTGACACGCAAAAAATGCTTATTGAAGGGCCTCTCTTCTAGAACTTACTATGAAGATGATGCAATCATGTTATCTTCTCTCGAACTAATAATAATACTACAGAGTTGTTCTAAGTGTATGCGATTATTCTTTTCTACACTACAATTTTTTTTGCATTTTCTTTATTAAAAGACGAAAATGAATCAATATGGAATTCTCATTGCTTCTCTCAAAAGCAATGAATGTACATAAGTTAGAAAATATTAATTTGATGAGTGCGACATCTTTTGACTAATCTCAAAAATCACAGCGGACTAAATATTATAATCCTTTTGACTAGATATTTGTATTATCGTTATACATTATACTAGTACATTACTTATACAAGATTTCTGTAAAATGTTGTCGCGTTTATCGTTATTCTTTTATTTATTTAATATCACCAAGAACATTGTTGTTATTTAGTTTGTTATGTTCCGTCATAGATGTCGCGGTAGAGGAGTATCGAGCTACACGATTTTCGTCAGTGAACTTTGATCAGTTTAATCAGAGAATATTCTCGAGGCGTGAAGGCCGGTTGAGCTCCACGAGGGAAGGTGTGATAAAACCAAACCTGAAAAGTTGTTGCAAGTAGGAATCTCGCTTCTAGTTCTTTATTATCACGTGGAGAGATCTGAGTGGCTGGGACGTGTCGTCGAGTCAAAGTATACCCGTCAAAATGGTTAGTATTTATTGTGAGAGATAATTTTTCAGTTGTAAAGTACGAATACATTAGCCTGAAGTCATCCCACGAGCTTCAAAAATACACGTTCAATTTTTAAGAAATGATATTTATTACTTCAACCTAACAACCGAATTTTCACAGCTGCTAATAATGAAATGTTGAAATGTCTTATTTCAATTGTTTGAAATTTCGATTCTGCAACCTTCACCTATTGTAACGTCAACATCATTTTCTTGAATATGTAAATTAGATTGTCGGTACTGTGTCTTTTGAAAGTCATAATATACACAATATAGATAAATTAAATATTGGGGTAGTGAAAGATCAGAATGGATAAGAAGGTTAAATAATATTTTAATATTTAAAAATATTGATCTGTTCTTGAAGGAATAGTTTTGAAATTGATAGTTTTTTTATGAACTTACGTCAGCAAAGCGATTGTCAAATAAAATGTTTATGAAACTTGTTTTAATTACTTTTTATTAATATTGAAAATTAGGCAGCTGCAGCAGCAAGAAAACTGATTCCTCTCTTTGATAGAGTGCTCATACAAAAAGCTGAAGCAATCACCAAAACAAAAGGGGGTATTGTTATACCTGAGAAAGCACAAGGAAAAGTTATGCATGGAACAGTAATTGCTGTAGGTCCTGGAGCCAGAAATAATGTAAGCATGTATAAAATTATTTGATATTACTTGTAGATTGTTCAAGATTATGTAGTATACATTTCTTGTTTCCAGGATGGAAAACATGTTCCACCTACTGTTAAAGTTGGTGATAAAGTTCTTTTGCCAGAGTATGGTGGTACTAAAGTAGAGCTTGAAGAGAGTAAAGAATTTCATTTGTACCGTGAGACAGATATCCTTGCCAAACTTAATGAATAAAGTGTTCCATGTTACTGAAAAGTAATCTCGTTACAAGACTTAGTAAGGTGTAGTTGCATGAATAATAATATTGAATGAAAAAGAGAATGAAAGCCAGTGTGTTATGTTGTGTTGTTTAATCTTAGACATTTTGTCTGATTTCCACTTGTTTAGCTGTTGAGAAAATGTAAAAGTAATTTTTTATGAATAAAAGCTTGTTACATTGAAATTATTTTCCATGCATTGATTTCCATTGGAAACTTGCAGTGAATATTTGTGCACTTTTAATTTGAGATAATGAATTTTGAGGTCCAGTGTATGCCATGATTTCGTTAATCATTTAGAGTTGTAATCCATAGTCTGGAAATCCCTCCCAAATCCTCCTAGTCTTTGTGGCTCATCAGCTTAACCTTTTAACAGAGGAATTTATTTTTTGTTATTTTAAAGTTATGATAGTTATTTGCAAAATGTGTATTGTAAGAAATCATGCCATTGATTGACCAATCAATTATTATAATTGGATGTTTCAATATGAATCTTGTACATTTTATCCACTTTTTAAAACTTCCTAGGTATGTATGGTATTGTAAGTTTTTTACATTTGGACATTCATCGTACAAACAAGGATACTGATGCAGCATGTGAGTCTTCCAGACTTACACGTGTAAGTTGATACTTTTGAACAAGTGTTAAAGTATTACACATAATTTTGTAGTAATAACTTTTCTGATTTTCTATGCTTCTCTATTTACTGTATAGGAAGATTGTGGGATATCTGTAAAATGTTTTCAGAATTTCTGCTCTTTTTTGGAAGGAGTTATAATATATCTAGAAAAAAATGTTGCTAAAGAAATTAAATAAATCTATTTCCTAGTGGGATGTGAAACGTAGTACATTACTATGCTTGTTCTTTTGACAATTGCTGCTTAAATGAAAATGTCAGATTTCTTAGCTTTTCTTTTGTTTGTTAATTTTATTTATTCTATTTAACTATGCTGCTTAATAGTTAGAAACTGGAAAATGATGAATCGTTTTGTCAATGTACTTACTGATGTGCCAGACTGCATACTTAATAAGTCCTAGAGTGAATTGTTTCCCCAGATACTGTATTTGATTCAATAGGAATGTTACTTTAGAAATTTAGAATTGAATTAAAAAAGATCATAACTATTGTATGGTTTGAAGCCTGATCAATAACTATTAGTGATGATGCTTTCATTTACAACATTTAAATTTCCTTTTTTCTGTAAACTTCACTATTGGAGGCAACACTTTAATACATTTTGAAAACTTAGAACTAACCATTATGATTTCATGAATAGTGCGGGAAAAATATGTATGAAACCGCAAAATATCTAATAACGATAAGTATGTTACAAATATTATATATGCATAAGGTATACAATACATATGCTTCGCACCTCGCTGAGGCTAAAGCCTGTGTACGAACCCGCAAATCGCATTATGTACATGGTATCCCAAAACGTTGTACATTTGTAAAGAGATGAAAATCTTAATAGAAAAAAAGGAAACGATTTTATAAAGATAATTACTTAAAAGAAAAGAATGAAATTTCATAAAACTATGCTCGATGAAATGCAAATGAAAAAAAAATTTAACATATTTTCTTCTAAGTCTTCTTTTTTTATCTTAGTTACAGTATACCTTTTGTAATTTATATTTAATATAAATTACAAAAGGTATAGTATAACTTAGATGAAGGATTTCAATGCAAACAGGGCATTACACAAAAATGGGCTTCAGAACAATCTGAGGGGTTTATCAACCAGTATTTTATCATACTTTAAGTTGATAAACTATTTATATTAAAGACTTTCAAATTATGTGGAAGCAAATTGTCAACTTTACAACAAATATATTTAAAATTTCTTCAACCAATATCCTTATTAATGTCTGGAGGTTGCAAATATAGAGTTTTTGTAGGCCTTTACTTTTTATTGCTTCATAGATATTTTGTAAATAAAAGAAATTCTCCAAGACTGACTTCAACATAAAATATTTCCTAAAATCAATTATTATATTTTCTCTATAAAAGATTTCTGAAGAGTATTTTTTATCCTTTTCAAATATCAATTCAATAATTCGTTTTTGATAATCACTCAGAGGTTTCAAGGAATTAGCATAGGCTCCTCCCCAAGAAATTATACGATACATAGTGATACACCAATAAAATGCATGAAATATCATTAGATGTTTTGTACTAAATAATGTAGTAATTTTATAAAAAATATAGATCTTAATTTATTTGCATTCTTTGATATATGGTAACCCCATTTTAAATTGCAATCTATAAAATTATGTAATATTAAAATACACTAATTTGTAACATTTACGTACAAAATAAATTTACACAATGTGAAGTAATATTAAAATATTTGCTAACCATTTTAAAAACTAAATTACTTGTTCGATTAGTCTATTATTTTTGTAATAAAGCGTTATCTTTCTGAGTAAAGATAGCCACACTACAAATTGGGAATATAATTTAATACATACCATAATTTAAACAATTAGTGTAACATTGTCTTGGTGCCACATATCTGAAACGACCAATATTGTCTTTGCATTTTAATCATTAATACTAATTTACCTCACCACATTCACTTTTCCACACCTGAAGGTAAGGTGATGAGTGCACTTATCAAAATACGTATGCAGTATAGGCATTTTATTGTGGTTTCACATGGGGAACTTCTTCTGCTTGTGATTTTGAAAGTATATTAAAAAAGTGTTCCCATTTTTAACGTTTGAACTTTTTTAATTAATTATGTGAGCTATTTTTGGGGTCTTTTATCCTGAAATGTTTTACACAAAAATTTACAAGTGTTTGATGCAGGAATGTTATTTGGAATTATGAATTGAGAAAACTGCTATTTATTTGCTTTTTGTAGTAACAAAGAATGATATTTTCAGAAAAACATTCTAGCTCATATCCTCATTGCTATACATAAGTCTTATCTTACCAGCACGAGAATGAATCTAGGCTACCAAATCGTAGTAGACAAAATACAAAGAATTATCGCTCAGAAACTGCAACATATTACACTATGGCAATGGACTTATTTTTAGAATTTTTCTTGTATTTTAGATGTCAAATATTTTTTACTCCTATCACATGAAAATCAAATTATTTCCTACAAAGAAATAAATTTCAAAAACCGAAACTATTACAACACAACGTTAATAGAACGTATTTTTGAATATTTATTGAAATATCATTATATAAATAAAATTCTATGAAATTGGTAAAATAAGATTAGCAAAAAATGTAATTTAGTGCAAAATATGTAAGAAATTTGGATAATGTATTAGGATTGACTTGATTCGCCAAGATCACAATTTTGAGAACTGAACGTAGAATGATAAAAAAATGTAATTACATGAAAATCCAGACTCTTTCATGAAAAGCGAAAAAATGATCTGAGCTTATTCTTGCTAATATTCGTAGTGCATCAGCTGGAACATAACTCATTCAGCCGTGTGCCACTCGAGCGTTGCATTAGACGCGCGTCGTTGATTAACATTGAGGAACTACCAAAGCGCTCATGTGCCGCTTCGCTTGAGATGTTTGTATAATTCTTATACAAATAGTAGGTGAAGTGCCATTTCACATACTCATTTGAAGAGCCGCCACAGCGCAACGAATTTGAACTTTGTGTCTTGCCGCGAGATGAATGTGTGTTCTTTACTAAATCACAAGCGCTCATTGCGAAAATGAAATCAGTAATGTTCCATCGCGTACCGATTTTTCTGGAAGAGATAGCCACATATTCCACTTTCTAGAAACGGGCAGACTGCTCAATAAACAATGCAGCAGGGATTAATCTACAAACCATGGAACAAAAAATGTTTGTATTAAATTATTTGTATAATTAATTGTTTGTATTAATAATAAAATAAAAACTACGAGAACGCTGAATAAACCTTAAAAATATACTTACAAGAGTGAAACTTCCCATTGGTGGGTGGATGATGATACATCTTGTAGGAGTGTCCAGCAGTAATCCGCCAACATCATTACCTTCCCAAAAAAATTTCGACACGATTTTTATTTCCGAATCTTCTTGTAACGAAATCTTACGAATAGCCAGTAAACTAAAAAATAAATATTCATCTGGTTTAGATGAATTACCGGATTGTTTATTGAAAACTTGTGTACCTGCCGTTAACTCACATTTTCAATGCTTCTTTATTCACAGGAATATTTTCAAAACAGCAAAAATTAAGCCACTTTTTAAAAAAAGAGCAAAAAATGAAATTCAAAATTACCGACCAATTTCCCTTTTGTCAGGTTTCTCTAAAATATTAGAGAGGATTTTCTATACACGAATGGAAACTTTTCTGAGGAAATACGAAGCGTTTTCAGTCTCACGACACGGGTTTAGAAAATCAAAATTACGGAAACTGCGATTTATTCTTTACTTAAAGATCTTGCTTCATCAATGGGCCAAAATTAACCCATTGGAATATTTTTAGATCTTTCGAAGGCTTTTGACGTTATTGACCATAGCATCTTGCTATGAAAATTACCTTATGGAATTCGTGGTATCGCCCTAGATTGGATAACTTCGTACCTTAAACATCGATCTCAAAGAGTAGAAATATCGTACTGGCACGAAAGAACATTATTTACTAATCTTTACAATTCTTTACCAATTGAATAAGGGGTCCCGCAAGTCTCGATCTTAGAGTCTATCCTCTTTCTGTTATAAGTAAACGACATGCCGTCGTCTATTAAAAACGGATGAACGGTTCTGTTTGCCGAAGACACGAATGTTCTTTGCAAAAAAGATACAATAAATAGTAAGATTTTAGAAGTTTCAGATTGGTTTTGTAATAACAAATTAATAGTGAATTAAGGAAAACATATTCAATCCATTTTTGAATCAGCAAGCGCATGCTCCGTTGAAAATTAATAATATGCAATTAGCTGATGTTCAGGTAACAAAATTTCTAAGTTTGTCAATTCAGTCAAACCTCAAATGGAATGTACGTATAACAAAATTAAAGTTCATTATGTTACGCATTCAGAATTCAAATTCTGTGTCTTCATGCAGCTCGTTGCGTGTATTTTGCAAATGTACATTCCCCCTGAGATATGGTATAAAATTAAATTCTGGGGAATCTCATCATGTAGTACTCAGACCTTCCGATTGCAAAAAAAAAAAAAAAAAAAAAAAAAAAAAAAAAAAAAAACCGTGATACGCT